TGAATGTTGCTAATATTGTCTTTTCACAACGTTTTTTAAGTGCTGCAAAATTTTTTATTTTTCGCAGCGTTTTTTAAACGTTGCGGAAGACAAAACTTTTTTCAAACGTTGTGAAAACATCTTTAGCAACGTTTTTAAACGTTGCAAAAGAGGCTTTTCACAATTTTTTTTTTTTTATGATCTTTTCGCAATATTTTTTAGAAAACGTTGCAAAAAATCCACGCTTCCTTTGAATAAAAAAGCCCTAACTTTTCCCCTCTCGTCTCTGCCTATCCTCTCTTCTTCTCCCTGTAATCAAAGCCCTAACTTTTCGCGATTTTTCCCTCAGGGTGGAGGCAGCAGCGGCGGGCGATAATGTTGTGTCGACAAGAACACGAGGGGTTGAAGAGTGGTGAGGGATCATGGAACAAGGCTTGGGATTCGCGGCAAGCGCGCTGGCTACACCATCCTGACTCGGCTTGGCTCCTCTTTGGCTACACCATCCTTTCCACCATTCTCTGCGCATAGTACAAACGCGGTGAGCAAGATTTTGGTTGTTTGCTTTATTTTATTTTTTTAAATTTGGTTTTTGATTCATATGAATTTCTCGGTCCACGGTATTGATTATTTCAGAGGAAAATGTATTTTCTAAATTTCTCCTTTGTTACAATTGTTCTTGATTTTCAGAGAAAATGTTTGATATTTTCGTTTTGTATTGTATTTTAATTTGACAATTAATGTGCTACATAGTACAAAACTAAAGCAGTTGAAGAGGCATTGCCAAAGTCAACAACACCCCGGAATTCATCGAAGAGAACTCGAGCAGCTGAACTGCATAATTTGTCTGAAAAGGTTTTTTATTTATCATTGAACGATTTTTAGTTTCACTTTATTAACAATTTTCATTTTTGGAGTTCATATGTCTACATTCCTGTAATGAATTCTGGGTTTTGATATTCTGTGATGCATTTGGGAGAGGAGAAGCAGGATTAATAAAAAAATGAAGGCATTGTAAAATCTAATTCCAAATTCAAACAA